TAATGATTCAGGCTATATGAAGGTAGGCTGTGACAGAAAGCTGGCTGTCACCACTGTGGGCTCAACTGGTGTTCTCACGCTTTGTTATGGTCATCTAAAAACTGTAATTAGTTGTAGAAGTAAGGCCTGGCGCTCGGAAGATATCGGAATGTAATGGAAAGATAGTCACCCCCCTCCTCCACAGTGTATGGTAATGCCCCCTGCAATTAGCCAATAGCACCTGGCTGTGATGAACGCAGATGGGAGTGACACAGTGACCCTAGGTTATAAAGTGTCAAATTCTCCAGCAATAAATGCCATTTTGCCATCCATCACATTGATGCCTTGTGTGCAAAAGGACCGAGTGGCCTGGGTGTGGCTACCGTGCTGCTCTTGAACCAGGGTGTCTGCCTTGCTTAAAAGGCAACAATTAGTAATACAAACATTTCAGGTTCTTCTGTGTATTACACCTGGACTGCATTCTGACTGCAACACTGATAGACTGTTGTCTACATAAATAGAAACCTGCTTCCTATACCAGTTGGAGATGAATTTTACATTTTTGGTTCCAGGCACATTTTCGGAAATTATGCATGAACATTGAATGAACCTCTTTTTTTGCTGTTGTTGTTTTTTTAACTGGGGTAGATTTCTTTCCAGGTTAAGAATTCATCAGGGCTTCTTGATTTGAATGTTCTGAATAGTTCTAAATAACAACATTACTTGTTGTCACAATATCCAATACTTGGTGTAAGATCCTCTTGATGTCTGATTACTCTTCATAAGGACCTCACACTGATTCATTTCAAACCGTGAATTACCTTTAATTCATAGCTTGCACATGCTGCCAAATTTTGTTTTTTATGTTACCAGGTGTTTGTCCCTGACACAGAGGAGATCTTCCAAAAAGCCATTAGATACTTATGAAAAGAATTTAGATGTTGAGAAGCACATTTCCATTTTCAAACATGCTTCCATCAAGTATTATAATAATATTTGAGGTTAGAAAAGTACTGGTGTTTATTTGAATTTTTTTGGAACTGTGATGTGAAATCCTGGCCCAACTGAAAGTAGTGCTGAGCACACTTAGGAAAATCGTTGCTGAAATATCACAAAAAGATTTTCAGCTGCTTGCTTTAGTTTTCAGCTCACTGTATTTAGCTGCTCTTTAGTCCCCACACAGGTTGAATATCATTAAGTATGATGGATAACAAAAACTCCATAAGGATAAAACAAGTTGGTTTTGTCTGATCCATAAAAATTTGCTGCTTTAAGTTTTTAATGGTTTCCGGTAGTTCACTGAGCCCATGAGAAGGGCCTTTTAATACTCTATTAATACAGTAAGTATAGGAAGGAATTTTATGACAGGGGAAGAATACAATTATGATTACATTATTCTTTTGTGTGAGGCTTTTATGGAAACTACCCAAGACTTCTCTGCAGTATGATTTTGAAACACAGGATGTGCTTGATTAAAAAGGTTCTGGGTAGTTTCCAACTGGAGAAAGGCCAAATGCTAACAACCAAAACAGAACAAAAGGACTGGATGTTTGAGGATGACATATTGCAATGGCAATTATATAACAGAAACCCCAGTCATGAGCTGAGTCCGTCCCCTCAAATTCATGGAAGCTGACAGAAAATCCTTTGCAATGCAATTGGTTGCACCTTATCTGTTCCTACTTACTAAGCTTCATAATAAACTAATCAGAGCAGACTGCTTGAACAAGATGGCCCAATGCTAAGCAAAAATTTACAGTGAATCTGAAATTACAGAATGGGGAAACCAAGTGCTGCAGTTTTACACAGCCTAATTTCAGCTGTAAAAATTCACCACAGTACACACGCATGCACATCAGTGTTCAAAATTTCATTTTCAAGATTTTTGAGTGTAAATTAGGATGTGAGTTTAGTTATAAATACATATTCTCATGTACAACATAGGTGCAGAATTTAGACACAATCCTAACTATTCTATGTTTTAATTTACCTGCTGCACTGATGATTGGATTTATTCAGCATGTGGATGTAATGAAGTGTATTGAAACATTATAAAAAGAATGAAATTTGTATTTCAGAAAGCTTTACTTGGACAAGAAGCCATGCTTCTTGCATTTCCCTACAACAGCAGCACATTGGTAAATTAATTCACCTTGCAGTATGTTGTCCTCAGTTTCCCCCAGAAGTGTGCACCTGAAAGGTTATTTTACAAAAATCATACATCCCTCAGTCCGATCTTCTACGATGCCAATGTCCCTACTCCTAAACTCTGGAATGACATACAGACAGCTTGGCTGCTGGAGCAGGATGCAGCATCATGAAGATAAAATATCTCTGTTGTATGTTCACCCCTCAACTAGTCATAGTGTAACTCAGCAATATGGTAAATGCAAGCACGTTATTACCAATTCCTTTGAATCTCTAACAAAAACCATGTAATCTACAGGACTGTCACTAGGACCAATGTAAATGGAAAAGATAATTTAAGTTTCATCTTAATTGCAAATGAACTTTAAAAAGTTGGGTAACAGATAGAAACATATCCAGGTTAAAATGACTCTAACAAAGCATACAGATGAACAGTCAAATTCAGATTTGATCAAACTGAAATATGGATGAGAGATATTATCTACAAAATATGTAACTGGCAGGGGATAGAGTTTTGAAGTCAGTAGGACCACACTGTGTGGCCAAGACTGTAGCAGCAGATGTTACTGGAGATAAACTGGACTGTAATTTCACTCATACACTTTGATATCCCCAAAACTGACAAATGTTAGAAAGACTAAATCCTCCTTTATACACTTGCAATCTGATAAACACTCTATCATTAAAATATACAATGACTGCAGGAGCTGTCTACCTAACAGGGTTTGTTTGGACTGCACTATCAGTTCTACTTGATAATATTGCATCTCTCTGTCCCACTCCTGCTTTAATTTCATTATGTGCTCAAGTACTGCAATTCCCCATGAAGGTAGTGGTAACTGCACACACAGATCTAAAGAAACACATTGGCCTTGTAATACCAAGCCTCACAGTGGACTGCCTTCTAACCTCCCAAAGCCCTGTGGAAATTCTTAGAAGCTGCCTTAACAATTTTTCTGCAGTAAAAGAGAAAAAGTGATAGTAATGGCTTAGCTGATCTTCATTTGGAAGCTAAAAATAAAAGTAGCTTTATTGCAGCTCTGATCTCTCATGTGTAAAATCTATCACCTACCATAAGAAGGCAGTTCATTGCAGCAGAAATCTGATTGATAATACTGGAACTTTAGATCAAGCAGCAGAACAGAGAACAACCAGTTCATAAAATGTACTCAGTGTCTTCAGGTTTTATATCAGGCTTCCTATAGAGAGCTTTGGTACCATTAAATGCACTATATACCACTGAGCTCTGAAGCACTGTTCTTGTGAAATTCAGCTTATAACTATAAACCATGATTGACAAGTCTATTACTGTTGGTTACAAACTACTGAAATATTGTGTTTTATGGTACACTCACTAAAATATTTTTCACAGTGGAGTCCAAATACATTTGCTTTTAGAGGAAAATAATTTTAAGATGCAATAATATTTTTTCATTTTTTTAAATTATGGAATGTGCTTGATGTTAGGTTTGGATCACTTCGATGTTCTGAAACATTAATGCACCCATTCTGTTACCAAGAGCTGTGGGTACAGTTGGCTAGTCTTCACATAAAACAAAGTCATTGGAAACCAAACAGCAAAGGGCAAAAATTAATTTGTTACTAAGTTTAATAAATAAATGCTGTTCCTGCAAATTAATCTAAATATCATTATTATTCCTATCTAATTCTCATTTAATCTGGAAAAAAAGTATTTAATTTTGAAATCTGATCATTGACTCAGCATCAATTTTGAAAAGGTTTACTCAGCCAACTGTACTTGAATGAGTACTTCCATGAACTTGAGTTTATGAGTAAAGAACTGGATCTTCAGAGCCTGCTGAGTACATCAGCAAATTCAGTACCCATATCTACTCTAGTCCTGTATCTCTCACACAGTCACAGACATATCACTGAACTCCAACAAGCCCATTTGTGTACACAAACTTGAACTAATAATCAGTATATTTAAATTAATTTTTTAAACTTGTGTAGGTATCTCCACATTGATTTTTCTTCCCCGATAGGGATTTTTAAAATTGTGTCTTTAGTAGATTAAGCACAACCACTAGAATAATTTTGAAATAATTTTAAATGAACATACTGTATTTACACAACTGTCAGTTAAGCTAGTGCAGTTCTGCATTCAGTACTTCAGAACACTTAACACTAAAAAACCCAGCAGTTCTGAACTGAAATCAGATCCATGCATTTTCATAAGTATAAAACAATTGCCTACTATTCAAAGTTGCTATTTAGGTCCTGTTTGAAAATTAGAGAACCTGGGATAAAAGTAAAAAACAATTCAGTCTCCACTCACTGCTACACTAGTGCAGCCTTACACCAGAGAAGCACCAAAAAGAAATGGTTTAACATAATGGAGAATTAGCTCTTTCACAATTTTCAAATGTCATGTTTATATATCATCTATGATTTTCAGCTGTTTTTAAGTGTATGAAACTCAAGACTAGCTTTTCAACACCATCTAGCAGAATCATTCTGTATGATGTGTTTTACTCTCTCTCACTGTATGAAGGTAAAAATCCCTGCATCATCTGTTCATTGGGTTGCATTTTCCATTGTAAGAGGCTTAGTATCTGATGAGAGAAGCATAAAATTTATTTAATTTTGGTAGGCGGTAGAACTAAAATCAGCATTATTTCTGCTTAATAAACTCATCTTTCACACATACCTCTGTTAGCTAATGCTTAAAAAGAAGAAAGAGTAATAAGCACTGGAAACATGAAACTGGTTTATGGCTAATTTTTAAGGACTATAGAGAACACCTGAACACCAGGACAAGATTAGGAGCAGAGCTTATTTGGAGAAATAAGCTCATTCTTTACGATAAATTTAAAATAAGATTTAAAGCTGGAAATAATAATACTACTTACGACTTCTGTGGCACTGACTTAGTTGGAACTTTCCCTGCTGGATCACTCCACTCTGCAAACAAAGGAAACACATTTTCAAATGTCAAAAGATTACTGTAGAATTAAAATGCACCCAAAGCTGTCAGCCCATCTAATTATACTTGGTTTCACAACATGCCACAATGCATAACATGTAATAAAAATGGAACTGATCTGCTTTAGCACCATAGAAATTAATTTTTTAGCTTTTGTTTTAATGACATTAAACAGACAAAAAAAATACCCAACCCTGACTGTTAGGACTAGGATGATAAAGACCTACTTTGTACATTGTATCCTGAGGTCAGATGTTGGGAGTCCTACAAAGAAGAACACACAAAATGTCAGCATTAGTTAAATACGATGAAGAAGGTAAAATACATCTTGGCTTGCTAGATTAAGGGCACTGGCGTTATACTAACAGGGAAGGAGATGGCACAGAGAAGGATTTTTAAGGCAGCACCAATGGCATTAGTTTAAAAAAGCATTAACTGTGGAGACAAAGCACCACTGAGGGACCCTTCAGAGCTCAGGTATGTCCTCAGCTGCTGTAAATCTACACTCCCCTTATGGAGACACTGCACGGGTTTACACCCATAGCAGCCCCATTCCTCAGGCTTGGCCATGGATATGTGTAGGAGCCATCCGGGATGTATAATTTAAAACACAGCATGAATGCAGTTATGCATTAAATTCAGTGCCATTGCCTTTCTTTTGTTTGATCTCACCGCCTGGAAATACAGTAATCTTTTATGAGTAGTCACTTTTTATTTGGACTGTGACACACAAGATTTGATAAAGATGTGGGAAGCAGATCTTCATGTGATGGAAATTCGTCCGAATCCAATGAAATCAATGGAAGTACACCAACTTAAAAGCAGAAAATAACATGACTTGCAACACTGAGTATGCTAACGAAAAGATTCTTGTTGGCTCACAATAACTAAGCTGTTTCCTTAATGTCACAGTGTTTTCTGGCTTAGTTTTTCTCTAGGCTCTGTAGTACACAGTGATTGTCATTAGCTTTCCTTCCAAGCTGAGTTTGATCAGTTAAAATTAAGGAGTTATTTACAACCTCATCCTACAGCCAGGCACTACTTTGCTGGAAGTGTTAGTTCTGTAGGATGTTAAAGTCATTAAAGCCCTCACTGCACTTCCTCTTAGGGCATTATTAGTTCTTAATATTATATTGTGCTGTCAGTCAGTCCCTTGTGAAGTAAATAATGCCCTAAGAGTAAACATGGCACTTTAAATTTGAATGTCAAAGGAATAAATTGTTTTGATAAGTTCCACATCTTTTATCACACTTTTTAAATATATGTTTCTCATGAGAATACCTTTATTTTAATAGCTAAATGGAAAACTTCTAACAGTGCCCGTCTCTGGTTTATATGGCTGCACAACCTAGCCATATTATGTCCTAGATGTGTAATTTGGCCAGCCATAATTTATTTAAAGTGATGTTCTGAAGAGACACTTCTGTTCTATTTTTTAAAGGAAGACTAGCAAACATGGAAATATTTGTGTGCTTGCCTATTTCCTATTTTCCTATTAGATTTCAAAAAAACTCTAATTTGTATTTTTTATTGAAATGATATGGTCAAGAATTTTAGGATCAGCATTCAATGTGCCCAGAAATTAACTTTGATGTGGATCTTAAAAGTTCAAAGCCAATTCAATAGAAACCGAAAAGCAAACCCAAAATTTTACCTTCTCTGAACCTATGCTTATACTTCTACCAATGGAGATAGTGTCAGTCTGCAGGATTCAAACCAGTTTCTGTAGTGCTCATCAGAAACAGAACACTAAATTAAGAGATGGTATGAATTAAAAAAACCCAAAAACAAGCTTCCAGCAGGTTTAAACTTCTATTCAAATAGTTCACTTTAAAGCATTCAAGTGACTTTTACTTAATTTACAATAAGAATTATGAGAATTATGTATGAGCCTACAAGAAAGATGGAGAGGGGCTATCTATAAGCATATATAGTGACAGGACAAGGGGAAATGGCTTCAGACTGAGAGTAGGTTTAAATTATTAGGAAAAAATTCTGTACTGTGAGGGTGGTGAGGCACTAGAACAGATTGTCCAGAAAAGCTGTGGATGTCCCATCCCTGGAAATGTTCATGGCCAGGCTGGATGTGGCTCCCAGCAACCTGGTCTAGGGCACAGTGTCTCTGCCCAAGGCAGGAAACTAGATGAAAGCAGATAATCTTTAAGGTCCCTTCCAACCCAGGCCATTCTCTGATTCAATGAGTTCTGATGTTTCACACTGCAGCAGGAAACTGCAGTGACAGTTTCTGTGCTAGGGCAGTAACAATCACACTCCAAATAAGACATTCTGAGCACTGCCTTTGGTTTTGTTTAAGAAGCCACAGATATTGCTAACTTAATTTCTTTCCAGCTAAGTATGGTGTCAATATTTCAGATAGGGGAAATCAGCAAAAGCAAAATCACATTCCAGCTTTTAAACCAGGATATAATTGCTTGAACTATAATGTTAATCAGTACCAGTTTAATAAGCTATTTTTCAAGATCCCGCCTTTATAAAAAAAAAATTCTATGTAGCTCCATGACAGAATGGTATAAATTTCCCACCCTGGGGAAGTTCTCTTCTTCCCCAAACATCATCAGCTCAGAGTTGTTCAGGTTCCAACATAAGATTCTACCTCTGGCAGAACCTGCAGTGCTACTGGAATCATAGCCAGAAGGCAATAATGTAATTTGGGCTAAGGGCATCTTCAAATCATACAATTTAACAATTCAGTGTGTGTTACATGAACTAGAAGCACTCTCTGGGCAAGTGCTGAGGGTGTGCCTTTAACAAGGGCAGTACTGAAGATCAAATTGCCAGACTCTGTGCCTCCCTCTGGGGTGTGACACAGACACATTGCGCTCTTCATATGCAGTCATTTTCATTTCAGTCACCATAACTTGACTATGCAGCCAAAACCTCACCACACAATCAATCAGTAAGTGGGAAAAAGTGTCCATTTCAAACCTTTTCATTGCACAAATAATAATGGAAGAAAACAAACAAAAGATATTTTACTTGACATAGAAAGACTCCTATAACAGAGATGAAAAGCTCACTTTGCTTCTACTGAGTGTTCTGCAGCTTTAAATAAACAGTTCTACTAGTAGCAACAGTCTGATTGGGAATTTCCAACTAAAAATAGTATCAGAAATTTTTTTAAGTGGGACCAATTACCAAAATAAACTCGCCAGCAAAGAGCACTCTGCACAACAGAATGTTAATCAGGTCACTGGTAATAGCCCACTTGTACCTTGTTTGGGATAGAAAACTTGGTCTGCTCAGCCTTGCCGGGAGTGTGAATAGCAGTAAGAGGAGGAGGCCAGGAATGGGTCATCTCCTAGGAAGAAATAAAAAGTTTAGAAAACAAATTCCTGTACATAAAGAAGAAAGAGAGCTAAAAATGGTCACATCTGCTCCATTGAGCCTGGAGATGCAATTGCTCAAGGAATCGACCCCACCACCTCACACCCATAGGTCACAGATGAACGCCTTAACCCCACAGGCAGGACTTCCTCAGAATGAGAGTGAGGACAGGTTTTACTCTTGAAAATTGTGACCATCATGTCTTCATCAGAGGGCAACTGGCTCTACCTTTGTGGTCAGCCAGCCAAGCTGTATGAATAAAGCAGGGTTTTACCTGCAAAGTCCAGGCAGGAAGGGGGCCCTTCTGTATAGCACTGCGTGCAACCCTGTGAAGGAGTGCATTGTGGCAAGATGCAGCCCTGTTCAAGACTACAGAGAGGCAAAATAAAAAAGAGGCAGGTCTAGAAAAATCTGGAATGGTCTTGCAGCATGAATGCCTAGTGTAGCAGAGAGCAAGGACAGCACCACAGCATCTTCTCGTGACACTGTCCATCGGCTATTACTGTGGCAAGCAATATCACTGCCTCAGAGTGATTAATTACTCCAGAACTATTAATTCCACTTTAAAATAAGGGACTGAGAATCAGGTGACTTGCATAGATTCAAAAAGTCTGTACTTAACCAGGAAATCCAAGTGTTCAGTAAGACCTGCAAACCAGACCATTTAAGCAAAATCCATCCATTTTCTGTATCTGTGTGTTTATTCATCATTTGTACATTCAATTCCTAATTTTCTTTAAAGAAAAATCTTGTGTGTCCATGGCTACCAAACACCAGCAGAAGAGCAGCATACACCCTCTCCTTCCCACTGCAGGGAGCTGCTCCCCCAGCAAGCCCAACAGCACACTGGGGCTTGTGCTTGGAGCAGGGGGAAAATCACTAAAACCAAGAAATTGCACAAGTGCTGACTTAGGCAGAGCTTTTAAATGCCCTTCTAATTAGTGTGAGACACTGCTTCTTTCTTGCTTATCTTTGTTTTTATTTTAATAAAAATCCAAAGAGGCAGTAACAGTTGTCTCTGGCATTCTGTTGCATCTCTGTCTTGGTTGTTTTTCTTTGCCTAAAAAGCTCAGAAAGAATTCTTTATTGAGACAAGGGAGGCAAAGAGAAGAAGAACATACAATCTTGAAATTCTTATGTGCAATGGCCTGACTGCAGTAAACTGCACTTCCCAGCTGCTATTACACACTGGTCAAACCCAGGGCTAGTCACAATGAAGCTTAGAAACAGGCCAGTTTCTGTAGGTAACATGACAACCACTCAAATGATCCACAAATAAAAACATAACATAACACAATTGATTAAGAGGTGGGGTGCATTTTGGCTAAACACATGCCCTGGTTGACTACAGCTGATACTAATTACAGTTCACTGAAGATAAAGCCAGCCAGTTTCAGAACTATAGTTGTCCCTCACAAATTATTTGTCATACAGAAGGTTAGGAGAGAGAAAGCAAAACTATACACCATGGTTCTCAGTCACTGGGACAGGCAAACATATAAACTTCCTTGGGTAGATGGGTCAGGCTGCACTCCTGAAAGCAGAACTTCTGGGTTTCTGCTGTGGAGCCCAGGGTCCGTTCTCACTGCACAGAGCCCGAACAGTGGCAATGAGGAGGAAAGGAGCAATTGTTGAATGGCTCATCCCTCCCGCTCTGTGTGGCTGTGGCAGCTCAGTACCATGACAGGAAGAGCACTATTAAATGGCATTGATTGTCTGACCTCTGGACGGGGAAGGCAGAAAAAGATTTCAGCATCCCGTGAACTTTTCTGTGGGATAATATAATCCAAATCCTGCATGCCTTGGCCAAAGCCTATGCCACAGAGGTTGCTTTGTGGCAAATCTCTTCATAGCAAATGATGAAATGGAGACTGTATCACATAATTAAAAGCGGGCCAGGCATTCTGACAGAAGGCAGAAATTAAGACTATTCTAGAACCACAGTTATAGGCTTGACCTCAATCTCTTCCTGCCCACACAAAAAAATGCTGTACAGAGAGCCTGGGAATCATGGAGAGGTGATACTTCAGAATATTGCCTGTCGAAACACATGTAGTATCCATTGCTTACCTACTTGGCAGGCTGAAGAGTAAGCAAACCTAGTCACCTCCCTATTACGGGACACGTGAACATAAAACAATGAGAAAAGGAGCCTGCTATTCAGGAGGAAATTCATGAGGAAATGAGGAATTTCAATTTGAAGGAATTCAAAATTCCTCAAAATGAGGAAATTCAATTACAAGGTAAGAAATCCTGCCTCCACTGAGGTTAGGACTATCCAATCTCTGTGTTTATAGTGACCTCATGAGCATCAGAATCTCTTACAAAGGTACAACCTAGCTACATTGAAGCATTTCATTCAATTCTCATTGCAATGAAATTATTGGACAGAAAATTCCAGATTCCACACATGCATAACAGCACAAACATTTAAAGCTCAGCATATAAACCAACACTGTCTGTGGTGGTGATAAAGCACATAGTTAGCTAAAGAAACATACTACATCTACCTACAGACAGGTGCCAGAGCACTGTCCACCAAATAACCTTGAACAGTGGTAGAGAAAGTTTTGAGTTTACTCATCTGAAAAATGTCACTTTAAAATGTCTGGGCAGCAACCCCCACAGCAACCAGCACACAGCTGCATGTTCCAGTCATGCAGATCTGAGCTACAGAAGGACTTGAAAAAATGGCTCTGCACTGCTGTCAGTAAAGGATCAAAGTCCCAACCCCACACCCTGCAGGGATGTGACTGTTTAGCTTGTTCCTACTCCGTTCCTTAAGCACAGATAGGTTACTCTGGAATATCAGAAGAAAATATGTAATTTGTTTAATAATCCACATGACTTCACCGTTCTTTCTTGTGCCCCAGTTTCTTCTGGAGGTCCCTGATCTTTACGTACTTGCTAAGCTCTATTTTGTTTAGTTTATGAAATCTGATATATCTACCTTCTAATATGTTAAGCCTATAAAGAACCACACAGACAGTGTGTGTTGTGAATGCATCCATTAAGATGTGTCTATAGCCACCTTAGTTTGTAAATACCTGAGAAAATAGGCAGGGAATTAAATTCATGCTTTTTTTTCCAGGAAAAGTTAAAACACTTTAATCAATCCAAATTTGGAAATATTTAGAAATTCCTGGAAATAAAAATAAGAAAAGCAAGCATATGAAACACTTTAAAGAGGAATTCAATGGAAACAAAGTAATTCCACAAAATTGAGTTAGGATTTATTTTCACATGGTTTGGACTTAATTCCAAAATCACGTTAACTGTTGAAGTGGGTAGATGACTGCTATAGAAGCATGCATTTTTCTACAGACCTGGAGATTGAATGAGAAAGTAAACCTGCACTTTTTCTTGGCTTAAAAGTCACTGTGGTCCTCTGATGTAGTAACATCAAGCATCCTCCTCTCTGAAAATTATTTAAACATTGTTTTAATTGACTCCATGTGTTTTATTTATTACAGCTAGACATGCTTGTCTTCACCTAAATCTGTTTTTTTGGCTATAAAAGCCCTCAGGTAAGTAACTAAGAAAGACACATGCAGATGAGATCTAATGAATCACCCAAAACACATACACCTCAAACCTTCTAAAGGAAGCAGAGGCACAAGGCCAAATAATGATTTAAATGGAAGGAGAGGACTGGGCAAGGATTTAAACTTACAAGTTTCTAAGGAAGAGGTCAGAGAGAGAGAACTGAGTACAGGGGATATGGGACAGATGGTAAATAGCTTTACAAAACCAGTCCCTAAAATTAACAGCCGCCTTCAAGATTTATTTCCTGTCTCTGTATTTCATTTTTTCATCATTTCCTTCTTGTTCAAAAGAAAGTGTACTGTGTTTTTAAGTACAGATAAAAGCTCAGAGCCAGGCTCTGAGACATCATTATGGATAAAAAAGAAGCAGGATTGTGTACTCTGCATTCCTACTGAGGTAGCTTCCCTTCCTAATGTGCTCTGAACTGCTTAGCCTGATCTAATTTGATGTCTCCTAAGACATGGGGCTCATGCTACTTCCCTTGGGAGAACTGAGGGGAGACATGAAGACAGCCTTTAATTACAGAAAGAGCTGTTCCTAAAGGAGAGAATAATCTGTTCTCCAGTTTTATGGAGGATATGAACTTCAACTGCAGCCAGAAAAATTCCAGTTAGACGTAAGAAAAAGCTCTTTAATGTTAAGGATCCTGTAGCACTGAAACAGATTGCTCAGAGGGCTACACGGACTCCATCTGTGGAAGAACATGCCTAAGAACAGATAAGCACACATCAGTCAAGCATAGCTCAGGCAGAATTGATTCCTACACTGGGACAGGGATGTATAGTAGATTATGAGATTTCTAAAACCCTTCCCAGACCTTTTTCTTGTTCTGTAGTTTTGATAGATTACAACTGGTTTGGCCAAGCCCTACCCTTACTGTTCTCTTGTGGATACCTCCACAAAAAGGCAGAAAAAGAAAGCACCAATCCAATTTTTTTTTCTCCTGTGACCACAAAGGCAGTCTCAAGACTGAAACTTTGTCATATCATTTAGAGGGCAGCCAGTGGAGCAGGAGAAAGACCACCCCACACAAATCACTAGCAATAAACTCAGAGTCACTGCTGCTAAAGAGACCTTATCAGTGATATTTTCTGTCAAATGGCCGTCTCAGTACTTTTAAATATTAGCTAAATTCGTTGCTTTAAACTTCCCCCAATTATTGGAGACACAGCATGTTGAAGCTGCATTCAGAAAAATTTAGTATGTGAAGAATAGATGTTCTAAGGTTATTACAAACTTGATGCTCCAGCTGGTGCTAAGCAACCTACTGCCTTGATGGAATAAGGATAGGAATAAAGAAGGCCAAGTGATTTACCATTTATTAAAGACTTTGTTAATGATTTATTAATGTTTTATCAACCATTTATCAATGCAACCTTAGTAAAAAGCCTGTCTTGTTTCACAGATTTTTCTGGTTTCTGCATTTAT